CTTCTATCCTGCAGAGGTATTGGAAAGAAGAAACTTGTTCCCAATGTCGGGCGCCGTTTGAACGTCTCTATCTGAAGCCCGATCACAGCTTAGAAACGTGGAGGCTGCTGCCTCTTCCATTGAAACGACGACGTGTAACTAAGGCTGGTTGCACTAAGGCTGGTTGCCTCATACAGCATGGCCGTCAAAACAAGTTATAAGAAAGCTGGTTTAGTTATGTACACAAAATAGGGTGTAGTCCAACAGCTAAGTTGTTGGTTTATTAGTTAATTAGCACCAAGTTCATGTTTCAAATCTTGCTGTAGTCCTTTTTCACATTTATTTTATTTTATTTTAAAGCATATGTCTTTACAAGAATCACTCATTTTTTATTTTATTTTATTTTATTTTAAAGCATATGTCTTTACAAGAATCACTTATAATAATCAATTACTATGATATTATTATTGTTTCCCGTGACATCTTTCCCCGTGATGCGAATTCCACGAAATTGAACCTCTGTTGTAAATTTGTCTAGGAAATCTATTTTTACATTTTAAATTTATTACATTTTATTTCGTTTGATCCAGGTATCGTCTCTCAGGGACTAGTAGAACCTTATATTCTATCAATTTGATGAGCAAACTATAAGTGCCAAAATGATATTAATGTAAATGCAAAAGAAATAAACAAAGTAAACTAAAGTTGTCGGGAGAAATTCAATGGGAGAAAGCTCTGGGAGAAACACCGTGACTCACTACCTACCCTATCCAGATTAATTCACATATTCTAATCAGTTTAATCCAACTCTCTACAGCTAGGATATCACGAATGTGCTAGCTATCCCTGTCGGGAATTACTACGTCCTAAACAATTAAATCAAATCCTACTGTCATAGCTCAATGAATTAATTATTTAGTCTGAAGAACGATATCCTATTTAAGACCGCATATCACCTTATTTAATCCACTGTCGCTTCGATAAGTTTCACATGAAATATGTTCAGTTATTAGGGTTTACTGTCGCTAATAACCTAATCAACTACAAATCGACGTAGTGGTGGCCAGTCAACACAAAGCATTACGTAATTTCATGCAATAGAGATTGGAAGAAAAGAATTATCAATCAATCAATCATTCAAGTCTAGAAATAACTACATCTTATGGTGTTTCCCCCCAAAATTGGGGTTTAGTTCATGAGAAAAATAAAATAGGCAATTATGTTCTTGTTGTTCATCATGATATTCAAAAAAGATACAAAACAAAAATGCTCAGATAATCTCGCTGCTCCGCTCGACAGCTGCTTGTGTTCCCCAACTGCTCCGAGCTGTGCTCCTCTCCGTTTCGCGCTGCTGCTTCCTCTCTCTGTCCGTGTCAAATTCTTCTCCCCTTGCAATTAACTAGTGTGGGCCCCGGCCCGTTGGCCGGAGGTAGCTATGAGTGAATTGGTGACTCTAATCACTTTTTCTATGTCATCTAGTTACCATTTAGTAATTTCTTTGGTGAACTCTAGCATCAACCCATTCCCTACTGATTCGTAGTCCCGTTTAGTAAGATTGAATACAAAGTTCTCGAACTCATACACATGCCGCTCCAGTAGTTGGTGATCAAAGTGGCTGATTAATATGAAATTTTACGTCGAGAGAAGTCACCACTCACGAAAAAATTCATGTATAAAAATAGGCTTGTTTTAACTTTTAAAACCGTCTGTATTTTTAAAATAACTCCAAGTTAGTAGGAAAAGATTCAATTTGTAAAACACATAATCACTTGGAAGTTCGAAAATTCAAATGCACTAAATCTATATAATTGTAACTGGGAAAGAGTGATAAGCGGAGGGAAAAATACATAATAACATATCCAATATGGATCCGGCCTCATAATATTAACATTGCAAAGGAGTTCAATGGTTTTATGCTAGCAGACACCAAAAAAATTATGACAAAACAGGATTTTCAATACATGGTTATGCACAAAAAGATTATAAGCATCTAAGAAAAATGGGTCTGAGCTCACCTGTTCTCTATCTCATTATCTCACGTCATTGAGTTGGCCAATTGTAACTGATGGGATAACATTAATTTCAGTCGAAGCCCGGCCCGTTGGCCGGTAGAGGGTATATTTTAAATTAAATCTTGGTAAGGAGATGCTACTACTTAAAACCTGCAGTGAACATAGGAAAGCCAAGATGCCTAAACAGTCGACCTCATAATATATATTATTGCTATGTAGGCAGGATTTAAAAGAATGACATATTCGGAAGGGCTATCTATGTAGTCAGTGAAGAAATACATGGGAGTTGTTTCCCATAATATATTCACAATCAATCTTAACAATTAGAAAACCAATTAAAAATTCATTTATTTCTAAGCACATTTGACTATGATATTTGACATGAATAAAAGATAAAACTTGTACAATAAGAAAGTAAATGTATTAGAGAGTTCAATTTCCATAATGGCTAGTAGGCATACCAGGCCTAGCAGAATTCTACCTAATACTGTAAAACCAACATGATGAATAGAATACAAAATAAAAAACCAACCTGTGGCATGCACATATTAGATATATCATAACTTCTTTCAGAGTTCACAATGGATATAGTACGCTTGAAACAGATAGGTAATGAAAGAAAGGGTAATGAAATGGATGAGTTGGCACTGCATCTCACCAGGTAGCCGAATACCAAAATGGCCTATTACCAACTCGTATTTCATGAAGAAAGGAAATTAAAATGGGTCATGAAAAATGGGAGGTGACATAATGGACTATAAAAAAGAGCTACCATGTATTCCTCAAACCTACTGTATCTACGCTCTTTAACTTCAGGGGAATTCGCAGAAAAATTCTATCTCATACAGTAAAACCAACACGACATAGATTATGAAATCAAGAACCAAACTCATATATATGTGCACAAAATAGATGATATCAATCACAGAACATGGACACCCAAAATTCATTCAACATAAAGCCTCTCATTACAGGTATGCATCATAAAACATGAAACACATCTAATGATGCAAAAGGAACCTGATATAGACCCCTAATAAATTTAGAACTGAAATAAAAATGCAAGTCTAAATCCATTAATAAAAAGGTTAATCACAACCAAACACATCTAATTAAGCATCCTTCTACCAACCACTAATCTATCCAGTGGGTGTAGTACCATTCTTGCTAATAAAAATATAGAAAAGAAACTAAAATTACCCACCAATTGGAACATGAAATATTAAACTTCATTATTCATGATCTGTTCATGCTTTCTTTTGAGATTGCATGTGGAGTGCCCGCAGTTGGAATCACATTATTTGGGGGCATTCTCTTAGTAGCATTTTCAGCTTCTACCTTCGTGAGCTCACCCTCCCTGGCAGCATGTTGTGAACCGTGAGGAGACACCCTCCAGATATTGCTGAACATAAGAACAACATACATCAACATCAGTAGGTGAATCGAGGCTGGTGCTCAGTTATGTGATAGGGTGTAACAAAGGAACAAAACATTTAGACAAAAGTGGAAGGAACTTTATGTTATATTGTGGTTTACAGGTTTAGCTATACATATGGCAAGGCTGGATTGAAACCCAGAATAAGCTGATCGATCACATGACTAAATACATGAATTAAGTCAAGGAATGTGGGAGAGACTCATGAGGTCGCTGCAATCCCCCCTTGAAAAGTATAAGAGAAAAGCTCAATATTATATTATAATTAATTAATTATTTTCAGCATAATAACAAAATAAGTTGCAATAAAAACATTAAAATGAAATTTATTTAGTTATATAAATGATGGATGGAAGGCTTTGTGTTTACCACTAAAAAAAAAAATAACTTAATACCACATTGATTATTTTCAAGGAGTGGTAGTGATTTATAAGGCCAGCTCAACATTAATGATTAAAAGAGATAGCTGGGCCTTGTTGGGTTGGGTTTTTGGGCCTAAGTGGCCAAACCCCTTCTCCTCTATACGATGGCCGACCCGTCTTCGTGACCCCATAGCCGGACGATGCCTCCACCCCTTGGTATGAAATTTGACTAAGTATTGAGACCCAACCACAAGGGGGTCATGCATGACCTCGTCCAAGGGGGTCTCGTCCAAGGGGGTTGTGCATGATATCGTCCAAGGGGGTCATCACTAGTACCCCTAGCTGTGTTGGCAGAGAGAGCCAAAATTTGGCTAAGTGTTGAGATCCACAGCACAAGGAGGTCATCGCGAGTACCCTTTCGCCATGTGGTGCAAGGAAGGCCAAAATTTGGCTAAGTGTTGAGACCCACAGCACAAGGGGGGTCATGCATGACACCGTCCAAGGGGGTCAAGCACAAAGGGGGTCATGCATGATCTCGTCCAAGGGGGGTCTCGTCCAAGGGGGTGAAGCATGACATCATCCCAGGGGGGGGTCAAGTATGATGTCATGCCAAAGGGGTCATCGTGCTAGACATGATGGGAAAGAAAGCTAAATTTGGCTAAGTGTTGAGACCCATAGCACAAAGGGGGTCAAGCACTATGCCATCTACCTACCTTGCACCAGGGGGGTCATGCATGACACCGTCCAAGGGGGTCATGCATGATCTCGTCCAAGGGGGGTCTCGTCCAAGGGTGTCAAGCATTACACCGTCCGAGGGGTGCCAAACAACCGGGTATCAAATAGGAGGCCATCCGTGCTGAGACAAAATCGGCTAAGTATGGGGCAAGAGGGTACCATGCCGGCAAGGAGGGCCTGGTACCAAAACATTGAATTTGGCTAAGTATAGAGCCAAAGGGGTATCAAGTCGAAAAGGCATGCTTGATACTAAAATACATGAAAATTGGTTAAGTATGGAATCACATGGCCATAGCAAGAGGGTACCAAGCCGGCAAGGCATGGCTTGGTACCAAGACATGAAAGGCATGAATTTGGCTAAGTATGAAGCCAACGGGGTCGGCAAGACAGGCTTGGCAGCCAAGCAAAGCGACAGGGTATCATACCCCTTGGTATCATGACCCCAAGGGGGTATCAAGCCGGTAAGACTGACTTGGTGGCCAGGCAACAGGGGGCCAAGACGGACTTGATAGCCAGACATCAGGGTATCAAGCCAACAAGACAAGAAATTCGACGAAGGCATGGTGGCTAGCTGAGGTGGCCACCCGACTAGGTACCAAACAGCCATGTATGGCCCTTATGAGGCCATATGGAGACAAAGTCCCAAGGCCGACTTGGTAGCACCCTAACGGGGTACCAAGCCGGCAGGGTGTAACTTATCAACTTGATGAGGCTACAAAGACTAAGTATGGAGACCAAGCCCCCATGATTGGTGTCATGAGATGGTAGCGGTCTCAAGACGACAAGAGTGGGGAGTCATCAAGCAGCCGAGGGTGCGATCAAGACTTCATCATGTAGGCTAAGCAAAGAACCTCAACCCCATCCAGTCATGACAGGGCGGCGAGACGAGACCCCCAAGGCGACGGTTACCAACTAGTCACCAAGGCAGCGACAAGCGGCCCCTAAGGCGGTTGGAGCAAAAGGCCAGCTAGCAGTTACTACGACGGTTACCAAGGCAGTTACACCCAGTGGCTATAAATAGGAGAAACAAAGAAGGGAAAAAGGTTCCACAACCAAACATTTGACGCACAATGTCAAACTTTATCTTTTTCTCTGCAAATTAGCCATAGCCTTAGTTTTCGGAGCTCTCACTGAACCTCCATAGGAGTAGGTGTAATTAACTTAGCTTTGTTACCAAAAAACCATCAAAAACATCAAACACCCTCGTTCGAACATTGTTCGGAGAGGAGTGAACCGTGTTATTAATCGTTGTTCGAGAAGTCAAGGTGCATTGATTGTGTTCAAACACCAGTTTTTCCTCGCCGGAAAACAAATTGGCACACCTGGTGGGACTCTATGTGTTTGATTAGATGGCTCCACGACTAAGAGAACATGAAGGTGATATTTCACCAGGAGTTGCGAAGGAGTTGGCGGCCAAGTTCGAATTTGGCCAAGCATCAGTAAGTGTTGTCGGAAACAATGGCATGATTGAGATCTTGCCACCGGCGGCACCTTGTGCCGATGTAACCACCACTGCCATGTCACTCCGCTCAATAGTGGATGATAACTGCAAGATGGTGGTGGAGAACCGTCAAGTGATGGTGGAGATCCGTCGATTGATGGAAGAGAGTTTGAATGGACTTGTTAGAAGTTCACAACAGACAAGTCTAAAACTTGCTTCTTTTAGTTCTATGTTAGATAGACGTTTGGATGAATTGATTGAAGCAACCACAGAAAATACATATTGCTTGGATAAGCTTAAAAAATATTTTATAGAACCAGTGGTGCGAGAAATTTCTTTACCAAAAAATGGTATAGATCCGCCACCAAGTATTGCTACTGAGTATACAAGTATCCTGTTCTTTGGTGGCCGGACTACCCAGCCACAGTCAGGGAACTTACCTTCTCCGGCAATGAGTCAACCACCTCTTCAACAAGGCGGTTATGACAAGAATATTACTAAAACATTCACCACCCATGTAAAGCAACCGCCGCCTGTGCAGACAGTTACTCTAAAAACTATCTCAGAGGCTAGATCATTCTTGAACATGACAGTTGGTGGAGGGTCACTAGCTATGGATGTGCTACCACAAGTTTGCCCAACCTCGTTGCCATCGATGCTTAAGCGGTCTGGTGGATGCAAACCACCAGGGGGGCAGGAAGAGGTGCATGGAAGCCTACCACCTGACAAGATGAAGATGAAGAGTCAGGGTGAGGGGCAAGTTGATGTCAAGAAAGGTGAACAAAATGGTGTGTCCAACAAAACACCATATTTGTTTCCTAAGGATGGCATGGGGGGCATATCTCCATCTCCATGCAATGGGCAGGGGGGCATGTCATCATACATGAAGGATGGAGTGAGTGGCAAATCTAAGTGGGTCTTGCATACCCATGCCACCTATGATTTTCATAACTTTGACAACGTGTCAAAGAGTGCACAAGGAGGCAAGGCCCCTTGTAGCATGCCACCCATGAAGGGTCGACAAGGGGGCATATCATCAACCACAAATAATAGAAAGATACACATGCCCAAGAAGCCACAACAAAACCAAGCCACACATGCTTGTAGTAAGCATGATAGTGTAGCTAAGGATGACATGGGGGGCATGTCATCAATCACAACCAGTAGGTTGATAGGTGTGCCCAATAAGCCACAACATGAAGCCACACATGCTTTTAGTAAGCATACTAATATGGCTAAGTCTGGCAAGGGGGGCACGTCAACAATCATGAATAATGGTATGGGGGGCATGTCTCCAACCAGTGGACAGGGGGGCATATCACCGACCATGGAGAAACAAGTGGGAGGAAATTATAGGAGTGTTCATCACACCCAACCCACTCAAAAAAATTCTAAGTATGAGATGGTGTTAAGGGATGGACGAGGAAGCAAGTCCATGCCTAAAGCCCCTAATTGCATGCCAAACATGAATGGCAAACAAGAAGGCATGAATAAGACATCTCGACACACACCAACCAATCATGGTCCTATAAAGAATCAAGGGTTGTTATGTGTTAAGTGTAAAAATCATGAAGATATGGGTTTTAGAAAGAGTCAAGTTGGCCACAAGGGTGGTTGTCAACTCTGTAAGTCCAAACACCCGTCTTCTCAACCATATGGGAAGGGTAAGCATGTGCCAAGTTGGGGTAAAATAAGACAGATGACAACTCTTGGCCCCTTTGATGAGTCGAAGGAGTTGAAAATGTCTAGTGCACCACCCAGGACGAGACAAACACATCGGGTTCTACATCAACTCAACATGTCTAGTAAGGTGGCCAAGGCAGTGGATCATGGGACCCCTTGCAAGCCCATTAAGACAAGGCAAGTTGAGAGGGTGCCATCCATTGTTAAGTTGGAAATTTTGAAACCAACAGCGAATGAGTTGTTTCCCTCAATGGAGGGAAGACAGGTAGTGTATGGATGGTTGGTCTAGTTTAACCCATGGACTTGGCAGTGGTTGTACACCTTTGGCACGTTGGTGGGTGCCAAAGGGCATGGATATTAGTGACGTTTGTCACTCTCTTCTATATTAAAATAAATAAATAAATATAATATTAGTAAAAAAAAAGAAGAGAAAAGAAAAATCAAAAGCCAATCATGGCTAAAAAAATACGAGGTCGAAGTGTCAAGTTTTAGTTAGATTTGTGATGTGAGAACCTGGTCATAACTGATAAGCCACACTCATGTGGTGGCTGGATCCATGCCATTTACATGGCATGAGCAGGTGATTCGTTGTCGGTGTAGTCCCTTTATTGTCCAGGCCACCTGTCCAAGTAGGCCTGTTTGTCGTAAGAGGATAGGATGCTACATGTCGATTAATAATTGGCAAGTATCTCAAGCCTTATTTCCCTTCTCTTTGGGACGTGAGGTGTCAAGGGGTTCAATGTTGGGCGGCCATCATGGTGGCCGGCATGCCAAGCCTCCCACACCGTAAGACATGGCATGATACCCTCGTGATAAAGCATGGCTTGAGTAACTAGCCATGACATGGAAAGGAAATTGAGCTAGTTAAGTTTTACTTCCTTTTGTCGGGGCCTAGCATTCTATAAAAGGCTATGGGTGCATGGCTTTGTAATCAAAGCCAAAATTTGGCTAAGGAAAGTGGTGCCGAGATAAGTATTATTTTTAAGTGGTTCAGTTGATATAAACTACTTAGTCCATAATCCTTATGCACTAAGTAGTTGGGGGGCATTTGTTTACCACTAAAAAAAAAAATAACTTAATACCACATTGATTATTTTCAAGGAGTGGTAGTGATTTATAAGGCCAGCTCAACATTAATGATTAAAAGAGATAGCTGGGCCTTGTTGGGTTGGGTTTTTGGGCCTAAGTGGCCAAACCCCTTCTCCTCTATACGATGGCCGACCCGTCTTCGTGACCCCATAGCCGGACGATGCCTCCACCCCTTGGTATGAAATTTGACTAAGTATTGAGACCCAACCACAAGGGGGTCATGCATGACCTCGTCCAAGGGGGTCTCGTCCAAGGGGGTTGTGCATGATATCGTCCAAGGGGGTCATCACTAGTACCCCTAGCTGTGTTGGCAGAGAGAGCCAAAATTTGGCTAAGTGTTGAGATCCACAGCACAAGGAGGTCATCGCGAGTACCCTTTCGCCATGTGGTGCAAGGAAGGCCAAAATTTGGCTAAGTGTTGAGACCCACAGCACAAGGGGGGTCATGCATGACACCGTCCAAGGGGGTCAAGCACAAAGGGGGTCATGCATGATCTCGTCCAAGGGGGGTCTCGTCCAAGGGGGTGAAGCATGACATCATCCCAGGGGGGGGTCAAGTATGATGTCATGCCAAAGGGGTCATCGTGCTAGACATGATGGGAAAGAAAGCTAAATTTGGCTAAGTGTTGAGACCCATAGCACAAAGGGGGTCAAGCACTATGCCATCTACCTACCTTGCACCAGGGGGGTCATGCATGACACCGTCCAAGGGGGTCATGCATGATCTCGTCCAAGGGGGGTCTCGTCCAAGGGTGTCAAGCATTACACCGTCCGAGGGGTGCCAAACAACCGGGTATCAAATAGGAGGCCATCCGTGCTGAGACAAAATCGGCTAAGTATGGGGCAAGAGGGTACCATGCCGGCAAGGAGGGCCTGGTACCAAAACATTGAATTTGGCTAAGTATAGAGCCAAAGGGGTATCAAGTCGAAAAGGCATGCTTGATACTAAAATACATGAAAATTGGTTAAGTATGGAATCACATGGCCATAGCAAGAGGGTACCAAGCCGGCAAGGCATGGCTTGGTACCAAGACATGAAAGGCATGAATTTGGCTAAGTATGAAGCCAACGGGGTCGGCAAGACAGGCTTGGCAGCCAAGCAAAGCGACAGGGTATCATACCCCTTGGTATCATGACCCCAAGGGGGTATCAAGCCGGTAAGACTGACTTGGTGGCCAGGCAACAGGGGGCCAAGACGGACTTGATAGCCAGACATCAGGGTATCAAGCCAACAAGACAAGAAATTCGACGAAGGCATGGTGGCTAGCTGAGGTGGTCACCCGACTAGGTACCAAACAGCCATGTATGGCCCTTATGAGGCCATATGGAGACAAAGTCCCAAGGCCGACTTGGTAGCACCCTAACGGGGTACCAAGCCGGCAGGGTGTAACTTATCAACTTGATGAGGCTACAAAGACTAAGTATGGAGACCAAGCCCCCATGATTGGTGTCATGAGATGGTAGCGGTCTCAAGACGACAAGAGTGGGGAGTCATCAAGCAGCCGAGGGTGCGATCAAGACTTCATCATGTAGGCTAAGCAAAGAACCTCAACCCCATCCAGTCATGACAGGGCGGCGAGACGAGACCCCCAAGGCGACGGTTACCAACTAGTCACCAAGGCAGCGACAAGCGGCCCCTAAGGCGGTTGGAGCAAAAGGCCAGCTAGCAGTTACTACGACGGTTACCAAGGCAGTTACACCCAGTGGCTATAAATAGGAGAAACAAAGAAGGGAAAAAGGTTCCACAACCAAACATTTGACGCACAATGTCAAACTTTATCTTTTTCTCTGCAAATTAGCCATAGCCTTAGTTTTCGGAGCTCTCACTGAACCTCCATAGGAGTAGGTGTAATTAACTTAGCTTTGTTACCAAAAAACCATCAAAAACATCAAACACCCTCGTTCGAACATTGTTCGGAGAGGAGTGAACCGTGTTATTAATCGTTGTTCGAGAAGTCAAGGTGCATTGATTGTGTTCAAACACCAGTTTTTCCTCGCCGGAAAACACTTTGGAAGTTTGGATAGTGAAAATTAATGACAGAAGGCTTTTCCATATGATTCCATTAAGAAAAGGCTTAGTATATACATGCTTGAAACACGAGTTTCCAAGTGCTAAATACTACAGCTCAAATTCATCACTTAGATGGATGGAGCACAAAGAGATGCCAAATAAGGTACATAACACTTCCACAGATATCTTTCCTAGACTTGCCATTATAAAACACAAAGGAAACTACATTAGGGGAGCATGGGGTATAAATGATTAATCACGAATCAAGATTAACGATTTGGTGAGGATCACTGCATCTCAGGTTACATATAATTAAACAGACAGGAAACTGGAATTAGTTATCTCTCACTTTTCCGCTAACCCTCCCTACTTCTCAAATTAATTGTGCAAAGCACACTCTTCAAAGAAACAACAGTACGACATATCAGTTCTTAGTTACTCCGGACTTTTCACCTTGACTGTGCTCCACGACTTCATTGGGACAAAGCAATATAGCCTCAAATCCTCATTCTAACCTCAATCACAATCCAAAACAAACTTCATAACCTGCAACTACCAACTCACTCGAAGAAAAGTAAACAACTATGCTAAAATTACAGGACCTGGACTTTTGGGTGATATAGCGCCTTTTAAGATGATTATTTGCAAGGAAATTGGACTCTCCAAGAGGGAAAATCATCCCCACAAATTCATTTCCTCTGAACCCGACATCATTAAAGTTTGGAGATCATGTTTCCCTACTCTGGCTCTTCCATTGTTCAATTGGTGTGCTTGGCACTAAACTTCTCTGCTGCAATTCCTATATCACAACTTTCTTTTCTAAGCTTTGTAAATTTCATTCTAAATAAGCAATGAATTGGGTCATTATTAAAATGGTTAATAAACCAAATCACAACCCTGCTTTGCTTAATCATTGAATGATGCAGTCAAAGTAAGTAAGAGCAGAAATGAGTACCTGTATGTAGAAGTTCTCAATCACACAGCCTGTAGCCTCCTTCCCATTATCCGGTTTAATCCATTTAGAACTACCTCTGCCAATCATAGTTGCACAAATTCAGATGGAGGAACTAAACACAGTAAGGGGAGACAAATGTGAGAAGGAAACATATTTAGGTTTTGCACATTCTGAAGAAGGAAACAGGCAGGCTGGCCTTTCGGTAGCAGTGTATGATTTCAAGTGGTTTGCTCATTAAATCAAAACATCAACTCACAACCTAATGAACCAAAAAGCAACAATGTGTGATTTTGCATAAATTGGGTTTTCTAAATGGAAAAACAATATCAGAATACTGGGGAATCAAGCGCCACACTCAAATGTACTTGTATCCATAATGAAAGAAAATATAGTTGGGTGTATATATCTACATCAATGGAGGACAAGAAACAACCATTCAGCTTACAAATTCACACACCTGTCTCTACTAACAACAAACAAACGAAATCAATTACTTATCTTTCAATAATCAGATTTATTGAAATAGTCCCCTTCATGTTTCAGAAGAGAATTCCAGATCGACGTTACACAAACGAAATATTAGTGCAGAGAGACAGCACTTCAAATAAACATGGAACCCCGTATTCATGCACTAACCTTCTGGGGTTTCACATAAACCATTCGTCAAAATCACAGAAAGATAACTTAAGCTTCAGAACCAACCTGCAGACAGCAATAGATGACTCTTGAATGTCAATAGAACCACATGAAAGTCACAAATAGTTGACTCTAGAGAGATCGCATATTATAGCTGTGATTACAATCAGTATGTGATTTTATCTATTTTCCCCCATGAATGAACTAATAGACCACATGTAGGTTGGATAGAGGGCTTCACGGGAACTATTCAAATATTTCATAAGTGCAGAAAGTGAATACGGAAAGTTACAGAAAGTGCTAGCATAAAGATTTTAAGAGGTTTACTTTGGTAGCTTTGAGCTATAGATACATCCTAATCAACTATTTCATGTCAAAGTAGTTTGATGTTTCACATTGTAATCATAAAGCAAACGCTTGACAGAAATAGGGATGCCTCTTAAATGAAACTAAGGAGGCATAAAACCTAGATAAGATAACAAACGACCACAAAATTTATCACCCTTTGTAGATTCCTCCCAATTGCCAGAACTCACATCCAAAAGAACAACTCATCCAAGCAGAGAAAAATGATTCATATAAGGAAAGAGCAGGATCCACGGAACCCAAGCTAAGCAATCTACAAAATACAAACCTAGTAAAGTAATCCCAGTCGATAGCCAATTTTCACATTCATAAGTACATAGCTTTGTGTGTTCTAATATCAGTTAGTACGAAGATCACCACTGCTGAAAATAGTTGTTTCAAACTTCTAAGGGTAGTGTGTGAACTAACCTAGGAAGAGAGCTCACTGGGTGGTTAGTTTCACTGCCATCATAACCATCACTGTCAAGGTAGCCATGAGTCAAGCATTGGATGGCAAAAAAAAATGTCCAGTGCCGGAGAATGCCAATTCGTTGTTCCTTAGTCTCTCAAAGTCCACTCAGCTTCTGAAATCGTGATTGAATGGAGTCTGGCTTTCTCATATTGATGCTAGAATGAGCTAAATTAACTTAGTTCATGCTATTGTAGAGAAACAATGAGATAGCAATGAAGAAAGTGAATGACATTAAAGAAGACTCGATGGCTGCATATGGAATCAAAACATCAATTAAACATAAAGGCTATCCCTACACATTCGATGGTGTATTTCAGATTTGGAATGCAGAATAACATCAAGTACCTGGGAAATCAGAAGTGAGAAGAAATAAACTGTACCCGAAAGGGGTTAAACCAACCGTAGATGGTTTTGGGAACCACAGCCTGGGAAGAATTTTTAAAGAGTGCCGCAAACAGGAAGACTGGAGACCGCCAAATTGAAAGCCTGTCACACACAATGATTCAATTTAAATGACAGCCGAAGTGAAGGTAGTCGCAACATGAGAAGCGATTCATCATTTGTAGCTAATGAGAGAAGCTCAGTAAACTGAAGCCGATTTCTTCGAATTTCCGTATTCAACAAAGCCATACCTATAGGATACAGGAGAGGAGGTGAGGACGAAGCAGTGATGGGAAGGTAGGTAGAGGCGGTGAGGAGGAACTGAGGAACACCCAGATATCGACATTGGTAGCAGAGGAAGGGTGTAGGTGAACCGTAGGAGGAAAGAATCGCTGACTCTGGCACCTCTGTTCGTCGCGGCGGATTGAAGGGGTAACGCAAGGGTATTAGTGGGCCGTAAGAAGAATCGCTGATTGGCTGCAGGTGATTTGAATAGGGATTTGAAGGAAAGCCGATTCGTACAGATGAAGACACCAATTGAAAGAGAGTGCTGGACTCAACAGAGGAATCGAACGCCTTCTCCTTCGCCGGGAACCGCTAGTTCGGAATATCGGAAGAGAACGTCGTCTGGCTAGAGACAGCGCGCTGACTGTTTTCGGTGGTGACGACAATGAACGGAGCGAGTGCTGATCGGAGAACAAAAAAATCACCAGGCCCGTTCAACGTCGCAATATGATCGTGAAGACAAAGAACGGGGAGAGCACTGCTCCGACTGACCACACAAAATAAGGCCAACGGATTCCGTCTGTGAAGACACTGGCCAGAGACAAAGCGCTCACTGTATTCGACGGTGAAATCAATGAAGGGAGCGAGAGCTGATCGTACCGACGGAACAAAAAACCACCAGGCCCGTTCAACGCAATATGAACCGGGGTATTTTTTCCGTGTCCCAAAATACCCCTCCGACAAACGCTCCGGAGGCAACAATTTCAAAATGGGACTTCAGTTTTAGGCTTCAGCGTATTATAATTAGAGTGTAGACGTAGATAGATAGATAGATTGCCCCCAAGAATAATCGTGTCCCCAAAAGAATTCCCCAGCCATTCCGTCTTTTTCCCCAGCTAAAGGACAACAGAGATGGGCCACCGATAATCCATCTCCAAGTCCAGTTACCCTTTTTGTTAGAGGACAAAGGACTCGGTCCTTTTAATTCCAAGAATGCAACCCAGTGTGTCCGAGAAAAATTCCGGCCCAAAGCTCCTTTTCATTTGTTGGGCTTCAAGTCCAATATACTCTTTCGCTTTCCCGCCTAAAATATGTCACAATATTAACACATGATGGTAATAGTCTAATAATCATTCCACAGTCAGTTGGCCTTAAAACAAGCATTATATATCTCAAACATATCATGAAATAATCACATTAAGCACATAATATCAATATGTTTACGACAATTATCACCTCCCTAGTCATACTAAGCTGAGCTTAGAAACCTTACCCAGATCTGTCAAATTCAAAAAACCTGCGCAGAACAAAGGTAGAGGTCAGAATCGATTAAAGCAATACCAGTCAAGAGAATAAAAAATTTAACTAAACCAAACCTCATCCGCCACTGCCGTAGTCAAACCATAGCTGGCGGAGATTTGT